GGGCACTTCAGTTCAGCCAGTGCCAGAGTCCAACACCGTATTCAAAACTGCTACACAGCCGCCCCTTCGAGCTTCTAGTGCTCCTGGCTGGGTCTATGGCGCAGGCCTGCAAAGGTCCAAGGCTTCATGACTCCTGTGCTTTGATTATTCCTGGCTGCGTGCGAGGCTCCATGTAATATCCTACCTGTAAAATCAGACACGGCTGCACCAGCGTGGAATGAAAGGATCTGGCCGGCTTCGTTTGCGCACGCGATTGTTTGTTTTAAGCTCATGTCTTGCAACTGGGCTTGTGGACTTTCAACGGGCCACCTGAATAAATGGTATAATGACACATTTGCCGTTCCTTTGTCTCTGCACCGAAATGTTGAGACGGATGTGCAGCTTCAGGCCATAGTTGACTTCAAGAAGGATTGCGACATGCATCCCTACACCAAGGAGGGGTTTTACTACGAATTTCTCATTTGATGAAGCTTCGCCTGTATTTTTTATGGTGAAGGCTTTGCGTTTATCATTGGGCCATGCCTGTGACCTGGTTGTGGGATGATCTGCTTGAGAGGAGACTTCTGCCTAGTCCTAGTGCGAAGCCACACTCACAACATCCTGTGCGCTGTCACTGCATCCACTCACCCATGATGCGAGCCATGTTGACATGAATGGGTTCGTACAGAAGGAACTTAGGCAAAACTCTCAGCGCAAGAAGGCAGTACCATGTTGATGCCAGATGTTGTTGGAATCGATGGATACTTGATCGCCCCTTTGAGCATACAGGCGTCCAGGATATACAATGGCAACACGTGGGGATGATGCACCGAAACTGTACTGTACTGCACTGCTGCCAAATGGGTAAGTTACGTTGTCCAGAATACGGTTAGAGTACGTTGTGAACAAGAGGTCGAGGAGCGGTATGTAGGCACGGCACGGAAGGGGTTCCGGGGAGGCGGCATGTCAGGTTTTGTTCGCTTGCCAGCATAGTTGCTGACATGCGAATAGAACATCGGCAACCCTGTTTTCCTTGGAAGTGTCTAATGAGAACCCCTAGCCCCATTTAAGTAATTGGTGCACATATTTCCGTAGTCGCATGGAAGGAGGGCCACATGGCCAAGCTGCAGCTGGACGATCTTGTGCAAACCTTGGCAGGGCTTTCTTGTGTTTTTTGTTGGTCCTTCAGGTTTTGAGGCTGGGTCTAGGGCGCTGGCCGTCAGGAGATCACCTGAACCACCTTCACGCATCAGAATCCCTCAAGGAAACAAATGTTGTTCGACACTCGTTTTTTTTTTTGCGGGAAGCCTCGCTTTCAGAGGTGTTTGGATGTTTCGGGATTGTTGTGTTTGCATGGCATGTGTTTATACAGATTTGTTCGCATCTGGTCCTCTCTTGTCCGCGTTGCAGTCGTAGAATTCTATAGCAATCTTGCAGGAATTGTCCTGCGCCCAACAACGCAATCTTGTTGTGCATGACGGGAAGTACGGGCTCCCTACGGACGACGGCGGGCTCTGGAAAAACGCGTTCGATCCCATGGCGCCTGGCTTGGAGCAACAGCAATGATGGGTTTCAATGGCAATCCCCAATTGTTAGACCAGGATGCACCCAACGGAACCAACTAATGCGATCTGATTAGGGAACGGACGTAGCCCCGCCCATCAATGTTCCCTGGAGCCTGATTTCCCCTCAGCTGACCAGATTTCCATCCCAAGGAGGCCGAGATGCGACAGCTCCTTGCGGAGCTAAAGGAAAAGGCATTTCCGTAGCACGGCACAGAGAATTGAGGAATTGGCGGGCAGAAGGGTTGTTTCTTAGTCAGTGATCTGCGCTCATGACCAGCAAAGGTTTTGGGTTGGGAGTGGGATTTGAAACCGGTTTTTCAAGTTTTAGAACAGAAGACTTGAAGCATGTTGGCTGGGCTCCACGAATCTGTGTGCATCCTGTCGGGTCATCGCAGAAAGCACGGATTACCTATGGAACGCAAGCCTTGTCTTGTGTCATCAGTATATTAACAGGTGCGCAAACGCATCAACTTACAGATTTGTCTGAGATGCCCTCCAGCTCTTGACACAACTCCATGTTTTGAGCCAGCTCTATATGCGCCTGACCATCAGCACCTACAATCCCTGTACCTGTCATCATGAGCACCACCCTTCAACGCAAATTCATCGATGCGATTTCGTTATTGACCAGGAATGCGAATGATGCTCAGGGAGAAAGAAATCATGGGGATGCCTTTGGGAACCTAAAATGTCGCCGCCGCTCTGGCACAGGCTGGCATAGAGTGACTTCCATGGAGCTGGAATGCCTGCTGAGCTTCTGTGGGATTGTTGTGAGTTGTGAGGTCCTTAAAGGTGGTCAAGTTTTATTTCATATCACGAAACAACCTAATGCAAATCCTTGTCATCCGCAAGCCCTGTTGCTTGACCACCGGTGGGATCCCACGAAAGAGATTGAAGAGCTGAACTCAACATCTTTGCTGTCCATGATGCACAAAGAACTGCTTGAGCTTGACGGCAACATGAGAAAGCCCCAATTTGAGATAGCCCGGTTGTTGTCCGAAGCCTATTACCTAAAGCCTGAAAGGGCTTCAGCCCATAACTCCAGCAACCGTCGTCTCTTCAGCGAACGCCGACCAATTGAGACCGAGATAAAATCGCACACGTTGCGTTCGTATTGTAGGTTTAAACTCAGCGACAGGGATGGTTGTCTTTTCGGGCAGTCCTAGGGTTGAGGCTCGCATCAGACAGGTGTGCAGTCGTGTAGAGGATGGTGTTGATGTTTGTGAGGGTTCAGTCTGATCGTGGCTTTGCAAAGGGATGCTTCAGGGACCATTCGGGGCTGTCTGAATTGGTCACTTGGTTTATCTATCAGGTTCAAAGACCGCGCGCACGCGCGGATGTTTGGATCAAAGCTCCCCATCCAGGCACGCTAAAAAAAGAAATTCTCAAATACATGTGTGCCCAAGAGTGACCCGCACGAATTACCACCGACCATTTTTCATGAGGACAGCGAGAGTCTTTCAGACATTCTCAGCCCTCAGCAAAGCTTGTTAGGCGCCTATCACTAGCAATATTCAGGCATGGCCCCAAGAAGGGGGACTGAACATGTGTGCCCCAGCATAGCGGGTTCTAAAGGATGAGGTTGTGGCATGACTTAGCATCCGAGAGGTCACATTCGGCACCTGGAGCTGATTATAGTCCCCCTTAAGTAGA